ATAATGATTTATTGCACCAACCGCAACGTATAATAGCCACATTTTTGCATCCTTCTATGTCACAATGTGTATTGCAGGAATCTCCAAAACTGTAAGCAACAGGATTGTCAAAATTTTCTGGTTTTTTAGTGAGGTAACCACTCTTGAACCAGGAATATTTAAAAAGATTAGTATATCTTGGTGAAGATAATTGATTGTGAACTAACGACTGAAGTTTAATAATGTTGTTTCTTTTATGTAAATCCAAATCATAATTCATCAAAATTACGGTATCTGAAAATTGGCGGACAAAGTTCTTCCATATGCGAAATCCAAAAACATCAAGTGGCTGAATTTTTCCCATTGTGCCAGTCGGTATTTTTTTAAAATTTATAATTTTATCACGTGGAGTTACAGTTTCTATGGCACTGTCACAATGACCGCTCCAGGAGTCAAGCAACAGCATCGTATTGGAACCTACATTAGGGAAATATACTTTTTGCAGCCATATTTTAAAGAGATCTAAAATCAAAAATCTTATTTGTAAAATTATTTATAATGACATTAATTGTAACTAGATGGGATTATGTATACCTGTAGTCAACTTTCCAGATTTAGATGCTTCTACGTAAACATTTTCGGGTCTAAATAAAGTGGTTTCAACAATGGGTCCAAACTCACCGCTAGATTCCTTCAAAACTAAAAAGAGTGGTGACAGTAATTCTCCTGTGGCTGATATGAGTGGCTGTATAGTATAACTGTGGGTTGTTGAAGAAACTGACTGTACTAAACACTGTACCTGCTTTTCTCCTTCAACCGCTAGCGTTCTTCCGGAGTGCATTTCCAGTTGGAATCCGCTCTGATCAGAATTAAACACATTATGAATTCCAATTATTCTTATGCCTGCTTTAACATCAGCAATAAAAGTATTTGCTTTAATCGTTAGTTCTGAATTACTTTCTAGTGTTTTCTTGGTTATAAACTTATTTATTTTCCGGGATACTATTCTATGAGCTTTCTTGAATTTACAAAGCCAGTTATCCGAAGCTTTGAATCTTACATCTTCTGATCCTATAATCTTTTGAGCTTGCAATGCCCATCGACGTATGTCACGATCATGAATGATGTAACCAGCGTCTACTGCTGCTTTAAAATTATCAAAAGTGTACTGACAAATTCTTGCAATTTTTTCTCTATAAGTACCACCTTTGTTGACTGTATGAGCCCAACGTTTCAACTGACTCACAGATGAAACTTTCTTAAATTTTTGACGTACACTTTCAACACTTAAATTTTTTTTTTTGCCACTTCTCCAGTATTCTACGGCTCTTTGCTTATATTCAAAACTGACATCTTCATTGTCTTTGGTACAATGGTCGGTGGGTGCTTCGAAATCGTCAGGAAAATGGTGTTGAACTTCATCTTCTACTATTTTTGCAGCATGATCTTTGTAATCTTCTTGAAAATCTAATGTATCTTCAACGATCATATCTACTTCATTGAAATCATTCACGGAATCTATTAAAATGCTTTTAATTCTTTCCGACAATTGAATCTCTTTATAATTTGTCTCACTTTCAGGTATTTGTAGAGTTTGAAAGTAAGCTAATAATAAATTTAAAACGTTCAGAGCGTTAATTTTCATTTTTTAATCTGAAATAAAAAAAAAATATATATACATATATCTTATATATCTTCTATTATATTAAACAGAAGGCGCGAAATTCTCCGTGCGTCCGTCCATTCATCCGTCCCCTTTTTTTCCTTATTTTTCCTCTGTATAGGTCTCTCCTGATATCGCTGGGGAATAAGAAATAAACTGAATAACAAATAAACAAATTAGGATAAAAACAAATAAATAAACAAATTGATAAGTAAACAATAATGATAAACAAACTTATAGAAAACATTCATGAAAAAAATTAATTAATAAATTAAAAAGTAAACATATTAATTAATAAACAATAATAATAAACAAATCAATAAGTAAACAATAATTATAAACATCATTAATTAATAAATCCTCATAATCAGTGTAATTTCAATTTTTTTAATAACAAATATTAAAAAGCCGTAAAATTATTTGCATATAAAAAATAATTTTATAGTTATACTTACGTAGCAGGTACTACGAAATACGAATTAACGGAATAGTATCTTATTATTATTTGTACTTATAATATTATATTCTTATTACTATTTATTATGCTGTTAGTTCAATAGTCGATACAATACGTCCAACAACAAGAAAGTTGTGTTGGCTACTGGTGAAGAATTACTTACTCATATTTATCAATCATGAAAATAACAGACAATCGTCAGAGACGCTGATAGTAGGACGTAAATAAAATTCTGATAATACTATCATTCATATACCAAAATTTTTGCGCATCCGAGAAACTATACTTATCTTCTAGGTATACGTATAATATTATATTATTCTTGACTTGTTTTTTTATATAATAAAAGTTATTTATTTTTTGATAGAATTAATAAACGATAGAACGTAAAAAATTTAAAAGAGAGCAACAAAATAGCTATGGAATCATAGCTTATTTGATTTAGAAGAGATTGCAACGATATGTCAGAAACTTTTTTTAGGATGGTTTTTCAACATTGAGGGTGGTTTTGAAAATAAGTTTGAACAGGTAAATTTTTTATTCTTATTCTATCCACGGTAATATTTTTTCCAATTTTTTTAAGCTCATTATGAACTTTTTTTCAAAAATAGGAATAAAGAAGGTAAAAATTTCGATGACAGAAATTAGGGGTTGCAACCCTTGTGGTTGAAACTACACGAGATAGTTGTGTGTGTACATTATAAATGATGCTTAACGTATTTTACAGTAAATTATCAACACCACCTGTAATGTATTGGAAACAATTTTTTGGGGGTGGTTTTTCAACATAAGGGGTGGTTTTAAAAATAAAAGGTAAATTTTTTTTCTTACTCTATCCACGGTAATATTTTTACTAATTTTTTCAAGCTCATTATGAACTTTTTTTCAAAAATAGGTACAAAGAAGGTAAAAATTTCGATGACAGAAATTAGGGGTTGCAACCCTTGTGGTCGAAACTGCACGAGATAGTTGTGTTTGTACAGTATAAATAATGCTTAACGTATTTTACACTAAATTATCAACACCACCTGTAATGTATTGAAAACAATTTTTTAGGGGTGGTTTTTCAACTTTAAGGGGGTAGTTTCAAAAAAAACCTTGACTAGATTAACTTAATTTTTGTACTATATTTTATGTAGGGTAATATTTTTTCCAATTTTTTTCGGGTTATTTTAATTTTTTTCATAAAAATAGCCATGAAATAGATAGTATTTTAAATAAAAAAAATAAGGGTTGCATCCCTTGTGGTCGGAATTGCATGTGCTAGTTTGCTTTTCACATGAGAAGTGATATGAAATTTGTTTGGTCGTAAAATATCAATTAGATGCTGAGATACATTTTTGGGGGTGAACTTTGAGGGTTGTTTTCACCCCCTCAAAGTGTTTTTCCGCCGATAAAAAAAAATACGTATGTCTTATTTTTTGATGAACTATAACATATCAAAAGATTATTGAAATCGGTGAGGTCGGGTTGGGGGAGTTTCCTTGTTAGTTATATCAATAATATAAACAAGAACTTGTTATATTTGCATATTTACTACAGCTCTTATTCAATAAGAAAAGTCTTGTTAATATCCGCAGATAAAATGATAGGAAGTATCTTTATCGATATAATTAAGTTGCTTTATAGCACTACGTGACCTAAATGCGCACTTTAGCAATGCTTCTCCGTGACTTAAGTTGACCATCATTACGCCGTGGATTAGTAAAGTTACTTGAGTCACGGCTTTGATATAACAACAAGAATAAAAATACTAAAAATATTCAATTTTATTGATTAATATGTACAGGAGAAGAAACAATTTCTCTAAATACTCAAAAAATTAATCTATTTATAAACCAAGTGAGAGCGTGACGGTTCGCGGATGCACGAGTTATCTCAAAACACCTTGCTCCCCAGTTCAATTCTGCAGATTTGTCCAACAATAAGTTGTAATTGATCGATTTTTATTTGCTCAATTCAAATATGTAATCAAATAGAATTGCGCGTAATAGTTTTTTCATAAAAAGTTAATAACAATATTATGCTATCACTAAAGATTCCAAGCAACTCCAATTGGCCAATTAAATAACATAAGCAACGTTGAATATTTTTTTGTTAACATTTTTTAACTTATATGTTCTCTAAGTGTGCCATCCCGACTCATTGACCGCTTTTAACGTTTTCATTTAACAAAGCCTTAATGAATTTCCTCCGAAACATAATTCTCTATTCTGTATAGGTTTTAAAAGATAGCACTCAGATATGCCTTTTCTAGAAAATCATTTTTGCATTAGGCCCCGGTCCCATAGCTACGTATGAATGCGGACGGATACGGACGCGAATCGCAACTCTAGTAACATCACTAAAAATATCTAGTTCGATTATTTATATTAATTAATTATTTGTTATTTAATATTAATTATTATTAATTAACATTTGATATTAATTAATTATTTGTTAATTTTGTGTAGACTGTGTGTTATAATGTCAGATATTTCATATTATTAAGAAAATAGTATTTTATTTTTTCTCTAAGAAAAACACTACAATTAAAAAAAATCTAATTGGAAAACCCTCATGTTCAATCAAAGAATCAGTTCAGTATTTATACAAAACAGAACTTACCAGCCAAACAGCAAAGATATTTTAGCGTGTTGTTCAATGATACTCTTGATCACCTTTTTCTATAATAAAATAATTTTTCGACTACAAAATACTGTTATCTTGATTTTAGAATGATAAAAAATTTGAGTTCGTTATAAATGAACAAATATAAAAATTTGAGTAAACTCTAAAATATTTATGTTTCTAAAACTGAGCTCAAAACTCTATTTTTATATCTGAAAAATGTGTTATGACAATTATTGATTACATAAAAATAATTTTTAAGAGTTGTAACCATATACTTGATTATCTTACCGCTTCTTATCATTGTTATTATTGTTGGTACATTTATATCTGATCTAGGATAAGCATATTGAATCATTATCTCTTCAATAAGAAAAGGAGTATTACACCACTTTTATGATCCCTGTAATGAGCACATAATTTATTTATTCATATCTTTCAATTAATAATAATTTATTCAAACTCGGAAAAACAATTACATACTGACTGAATTTTATTTTTGAAAAAGTCCACAAAAGTGTTCCATTTTTTAACAGCTATTAAATACTGATAAAATATTTCTTCAATTTCTATCCTCATATTTTCTTCAAGAATAATATCTAAAAATTTGTTTTCCCTTTCTTCTATGTCTAGCATTCCTTGTTCTTCAACATATATATCGGCAAACATTGGCTCTATGATACTAACTGCTCTTCTACAATTTCATTTTTCAGTTACAAAACTTGATAAACTTTTTTAAAACATTAACATAACTTTTGAATAATTGGTTCTCAGTACATACTTGAAAGAATGATGCATCTTTTCAGTAAATTTTACTTTTTTCTTAATGAATTATCCTCCCATAATTAATTAAAAATAATGTGCTATAGCTTTTTCTTCCATTAATGGTTAAAAAACAAGCTGGTTTATCACTTATCCAATGAATAAGTCTTCTTCCAGAAAAATACCCATAATATATGCGCAAAATAAAGTCATCTATTAAAAATTAAGCAAAAGTTATAAATTTGATTTCAGACTTTGTTTATACAAAATAAAATCATGTACCTCTCAATGTAACATCCAAAATCCTCACAGCTATCACTATATACTTCCAACATTTGTTACAAACATCTGCTCCATTACAGCATGTCCTAATCTAGTCATAATCAGTCATATGATCAATATCAAAAACAAGTTCTCTTTGGATTGGTTCAAATTTCAACTCTTTCCTTCTGTCTCTGATGATCTATTAAATATATTAAGAGAAATACAATAAATGATCTTTGCAACATTAAATATCAATTGATTTTCAATGCTTACAGAACATTGTAGACAGCTCCATATATCCGTATATCTATTTCAATTGTAAGGACAAAGCCTTTTAATTTCATTTTTTAATAAATCCTTAAATTGTTTAAATCATCAATACTGAATATAAATATCATCCCTGAGTATTAAAAAAAACTACTTGCGAGCAAAGATAAGTTCTGAAATTTGAAATAATTATAATTGAAAGGTTATTTCTCATCAACTATATAACGTTATTTGATGAATCTTACCTTCTCCATAACCAAGCCAACATAATATAGTTGAATATATATATATATATTGTTATAACCACTACTAATTAATGAAATAAAATACAACGATATGTAAAAGAAACTAAAACTTGTATTAGAATCGTTGAAAATAGCGTGTGTATATAATATCAGCTCATGAACACAACTAACTAACTAATAATAATACAGATTACTTAGCAACCAAACAATCACTTAGTAACCAACAAATTGGAACGTATCGAATATACTACATTGCTCCTCCTTCATTCAAATTGTCGCCCGACAATCTAAATAAAACAAAATACTCAGAAATCTTGACTCTTGAACCTTGAACCTTGAATCGTAAACCTTGAACCAAGATGTCAACTTTATCAAGCGAGTTTATTCTTCCGTTAAAGAACAGAAGCCCGTGTCTTGAAAAGCTTCAATCTTAAACCTTGAATCTTCAATCTTAAATCTTGAGTCTGTTGTGTAATGTTGTAGTGTATAACGTGTTGATTTTTACAAGGGTGGGGGATTATCATGCTGTGGACCTCACCTTGTATATTACCTTGACATTCGTCTTATATCTCACGGGAAAAACCACAGCTCAAAATAACCGTGAGAAAGGTAAGTGTGTTACCTATCGTGGTATGTAGCTAACCTATCAATATGTACAATCTTCTTTTTGTGTTTTGGTGATTGCTGGATGCAGAAAACCACGTCGTTAATCTTTTTGACGATTATGTAAGGTCCTACCCAAGTACTCTGAAGTTTTGGTGTTTTTCCTTTGACTTTGCGAGGGTTAAAGAACCATACTTTTTGGTTTACTGGAAAATGAACATGTCTAGCTGTCTTATCATAAGTTTTCTTTGTTCTTTGAGAAGCAATAGCGATGTTTTGTCGTGCCGAATTGTGTATAGTGTTAAGTGTTGATTTTAACTGTTGTACGTAATCAGTAGTTAACAATTCTTCTCGGTTGGGAGGTGATCCTCGTAATAAATCCAACGGAAGTCGTAGATCGGCACCAGTGTACATTTCAGCTGGTGTAACGCCGGTGGTAGCATGAGTCGAGGATCTGTAAGCCAAAAGATATAAGGCAACCCACCGATCCCAATCTTTTTGATTGTCTGCGATGTATTTAGATAAATAGTCTAAAATTGTTTTGTTCTGTCTTTCTACTTGTCCATTTGATTGCGGGTGTAGGGGTGTTGTTCGTGTTTTCTTAATACCTAACAGATCAGATAACTCTTTTATTAAAATAGCATCAAAATTAGTGCCTTGATCAGTATGGATTTCTAAAGGAACTCCATATCGATATACAATTTCTCGAACAAGCACTTCAGCAATAGTTTTTGTTCGCATATTAGGAAGAGGAAAAGCTTCTACCCATTTCGTAAAACAATCAGTTATAACTAACAGATACTTATTTCCTAAAGAAGAAATTGGAAAACGGCCTAAAATATCCATTTGAAGTCTTTCAAATGGTAATCCTACATTATAAATCTTCATCTGATTATGACCTTTATCAGATGGACCTTTTCTAGCAACACAAGTGGAACAAGACTTACACCAATTTTCAACATCTCTTTTATAAGAAACCCAATAAAATCTTTTACGAATCTTATCTAAGGTTTTATTTACACCAAAATGACCTCCTGACGGAGAATCGTGAGCTTCTTTCAAAACGATATTGGTAAAGTCTTTCGGTACAATCAATTGAAGAATTTTGAACTTCAAATTTGGGCTAATCCATTCTTTATATAAGATATCATCTACAACTAACAACGAATCCCATTGAGACAAGTATAATTTTATAGATTCATCTTCCGAAGAAACATCTTGCCATAAAAGTTTGATGTTATTCTTTTTACAATTTAAAATGGTTTTAATGACATTGTCCTGATGTTGACGTTTTCGCCAATCAGTTAATGAAGACTCTTCAAAACAAATACGACTTACAGTACAACTGTTATTTAAGAATTTAAATTCTAATTTCGAACAATAAGTACAAGATGAACTGTTACAGGGTCTTCTCGAGAGTCCATCTGCATTACCATGCGAAATACCTTTACGATGTAAAACTTGAAAGTCATATTGATCAAGTTTTCCTATTCATCTTGCTAATTGGCCATCTAAGTCCTTAAACGAAAGTAGCCATGTTAAAGCAGAATGATCAGTTCTGATGAAGAAAGGTCGACCGCATAAATAATGATGAAAGTTTTTTACAGAATCTATAACTGCTAGTAATTCGCGACGAGTTACACAATAATTTCTTTCTGCCTTAGACAAGACGCGACTATAATAACCTATAACGACTTCTCTATTATCCTGATTTTGAGAAAGGACAGAACCTAAACCATGATTAGAAGCATCAGTATCCAACAGAAAAGGTGAATTTAACCGAGGAAAAGCTAAGATAGGTAGCGAAGACAGAGCCTTTTTCAGATTTAAAAATGCAGTTTGACATTCATCCGTCCAAACAAAAATATCTTTTCGATCTGCCAAATTGTACAAAGGTTTAGCTATAGAAGAGAAACCTTTAATGAAACGCCTATAATAAGAACACAATCCAGTAAAACTTTTAATTTGATCTTTATTTACTGGAATCGGCCATTGAGTTATCGTTTCAATTTTCTTAGGATCTGTTTTCTTGCCGAATTCGGACACTATATGACCAAGATATTCTACTTCACGTTGGAAAAAATTACATTTCTTTTTTTTTAATCTCAAATTTGCTTGCCGAATCCTTGAAAAAACAGTCCTAAGGTTGTCTATCATGTCATCAAATGATTTAGCCATAACCATGACATCATCTAGATAGATTAAGCAAATATCATCAAGAATATCTCGAAGAATTTTCTCCATTAGTCGCTCGAAAGTAGCGGGAGCATTGCACAACCCGAAAGCCATAACAATAAATTGCCATAAACCGTTACCAATTGAAAAAGCAGTTTTTTCTCTATCTTCTTCACGGATTTTTACTTGCCAATAACCGCTTTTTAAGTCTAAAGTGGAAAACCAAGAATTTCCAGTCAGTTTGTCTAGAGTGTGATCTATTCTAGGTAAAGGATAAGAATCTTTAACTGTTTTTGAATTTAATTTACGAAAATCAACGCAAAATCTCCACGCACCATCTTTTTTCTTTTTTAACACTATCGGAGAACACCAAGAACTGGAAGATTCTTCAATAACACCTTGGTCTCGCATGTCTGAAATCATTTTATTGACTTCAGCTTTCAGATGAAATGGTATAGGACGAACCGATTGTTTAATAGGAACTGAATCTGTTAATTGAATTGTATGCTCAATAAGGTTACATTTACCTGTTACATCGTTATCTTCAAAAATATCTTGAAAATCAGTAAGAAGTTGTGAAAATTTATTCTTTTGAGAAAAATTCAACTCTTTTGAATTTTTCTCAAGTAAATCTTGTAGTTGAGCAGGAAATTCAGTACTTAATTGTATAATTCTAGAACAAATTTTTTGGTTAACATTAGTCCTAACAGAGTTTGGAACATCAGAAAAAAATGTCATTAATAGAATCTGCAATTTCGGAGTTATTCAAAAAATCGCAGCCAAGTATACAATCATCGATTATATCGGCAACAAAAACTATCATACGAACAGAATATTTACCTAAACAAATCTGAACAATAGTCTTAAATTTGTGACGGAGAATTTCGGCTTGCCGGCTTCTCCTTTGTCTCTCTCTCGTCCGTTCGTTGCGCCCGGGCTGAGGGTGTATTTGTATACACTCTCATGCCTACATTTTCTCTGTTTGAGGTGCGGCGAACGGGCATTGGCGGAGCTGGAGGCGGTTGATGAGGCGACGATCCGTTGCCAGGATCGTTATGCGTGGGGGCGAGTGGAATGGGGAGAGCGCGGCCGAGGGGGGAAATCGGTAGTATCGTTTGGGCTGGCCGATCGCGTGCGCGCGTTTATTTTGTCGTCGCCGATTTCCGGTTTTTTTCCGTTGGTTTTTGGAAGCGGTGCGGTGCTTCGCCACGTCGTTTGTTTGTGGATGCGCACCCGGTGTGTAGGCGCGCATCGGTGGTTCCATTTGGTGTGAGTGTGGAGTGAGTGGCTGGGTCGCGCCCAGCCAAGCCTTGCCGCCCAGCACCGGTGTGCGCGGGTAAGAGCGAAGCCCGTACCGCCGGCGCGCGCGCGTTCGGCGAGCGAATCCGGCGAGCAGCTGAGCAGCAGCACCAGCAGCAACAGCAGCAGCAGCAGCAAGCCGCAGCCGTTGGCCGAGAGCAGCCATCTTCGCCCGAGGTCGTCGTTGGGAAGGTCGGTGCCGGTTTTCTCTCTCTCTCTCTCCTTCTCTCGCTCTCTTGCATGTTCAGTGGTGCTCGCGGGTGCA